TTCTTAATTAATCTCATCAAAAAATTCCTTGTCGTTTAAAGAATAAACAGTATGCCGCAGTATACTAAAGCAAGCTTTCCGACATAAGCTACTATTCCATACGAACACAGAAATATACTCAGATATGCAATAATGCAAGTCATAAATGACTGGTTATTTGATGTTGGAGCCTGCAAATCGTTTCCTATTTGATGCCTAGAAAATATGTATCGAGTTCTGATAAGATACACGGCAAAATAAGTATCCAGCCGAGAAGAAATTGATTGCAATTAATGAATTCGAAAAGCATTTGGGTTGCACCCTTTTAGTTGTAAAATTTCTAGCTTTAGAAAGGGATTATATTAGCAGTTTTATTATGTTAATTTTTTAGAGTTATAAGAAAACATAAGTTTACTAACTTTTCGTTTCACTTTAGTTTTATGTTTGTATGTATGCACATATGTATGTATCTTTATCCTTGACTGGGAATAAATGTTAAGCTTAAAATTTGTAACAGAATGAATGACCGCACATAAGAGTGGCACAATGTAGGTGAAAAGTTAAAATTATAGCTAGACGCAACTCTATCTTTTACTCAGTTCCGATTTCCTTCTCCGCTCTCGGTTATTTGCGATACATTCTTATCTGCGATTACTCCAACATCCTTTTGTAAATCGACTTCTGGTGATGACGAGGATTCAGCGCCACCCAAAATTGGAGAAAATAAGGGAAACTCTTCATCCATTGCTGCATCGTTAACCAGATTTATATTATTTGCACTCGAATTTCGTTCTTCGTATGGGTTCAACTCAAAGGTCTGCCTATCTTCGCAGTTAAATTCAACCGGTACGGCCGTGGAGTTATTTTCAATCCTGTCCCCTAAATCTCGATTGATTGCATCTTCTGACTCAATGTCATTTTCTTCAGCACTTTCCATTTGATCGTTCTCATTAAAAGCTTGATAATCGCTGAGGGAACTACGGGAAGAGCAGCTTCGATGCTGTCGCCGTTGGCGTGCATTATTAGCACGTTTTCCCGACGCACTGTGATTGGATGAAGATGAGGACGAAGATGAACTGGAGCTGTCGCTTTCGCTATCCACACTCGAAGAGTCCATCGGCGTGGGTTCACAGGCAGCACCCGTTGGAGGCGCAGCCGAGGGAGGAGAAGCAGCCGCTGCAGCAGCAACAGCCATTGCTGCCGAACGCATTAATTGGCAACGTAAATCTAAAATAAATAAATTATAGTATATGTTGAAAAAAGGCGCAACTACTTACTATAATTTTCGCGCGATAGTTCACGCACTTTTTCCTCCAAAATACGTATCTTCGACATAAACTCTGAGCTAATACGCTGCACATTCAGTTGCTGCTGCCTTCCTTGATCTGACGAATATCGGTCCTCAATTTGTAGACATTCTTCGATTAGTTGTTGTTTAGTCAAGTTTTCCAAACGTTCAACCCGCGCCTTTTCGTACACATTGGCGAATTCTTTTGTAAGAAATTCCTCCTCATCTTCCGGTAACGAGAAGAAATAATTATCTTCTGAATCAATAGAAAAGCTGGAGTCGCGAGTACGGCCCGAGGGTGTAAGCAATGCACTGGGCACTTCAGCCAAATGTTCTTCCATTAGGAACTTATTCGTGTTGTATGGCACCAGTGAACGTGATCGAAGTATTTTAGGGCGTGCTCCATTCCTATTGTGCCCACCACCGCCTCCTCCTCCTCCGCTACCATTAAAATTAGGTCTTGGTACTTGAAATTTCCAATTTGACTTTTTGTACAGTTTATTTGCATTTTTGGCCTTTGGTTTGCCTCGACGGTGTTTACGTTTCGCCTTTTGCGGTGGTTGTTGCTCAGAAGATTTTTTATTGGGTGAAGCAGCACTAGTGTTCCCGGCAAGGGCATTCGCCTCAACATCTGTAGCAATTTCCGTCTGTATTTGGTTCTCTTGAACTAGCACACCTATTACGATTGAAATAGAGTTTAAAGTTATTTGAAATTAAATAAAAACTTTAGCAAATGGGCACTACGGTACAGTTATCGAAGCTGTTTGTGCAATTAAGTAGATGGATTGAAAAAAGGGTAACTGGATTTTGAACGCTCATCAGAAACATTTCTGAAAATTAAGAACCTCCATCATATAAGCTTTGTTCCACACGAGCCCCCGGGATTCTGCGGGTGCCAAAACAGTCCAGCCGTGGAATTCTGACAATCGCTAAGCTAACCGCCCTATTCCCACAACACAGACAAAATTCATCATATGACTATTGTCACAATTACTGCGCCTAAAACACAATATAAACATTGTTTCGCCGTTGTCACTTACTCAGTAGGTCATAACAATAAAACTGACAATTGTCATACGACAGTTTAAAATAAATTTGCGGCATAGTATTAGGCGCAGTAGTAAAGGCAATAGTCAGCCGCTGAGTTTTGTCAGTGGTGTGGGAATAGGGCGGTAAGTTTCCATCGCTACAGTTCTCTAAATGCAACAAATGTAACAGATGTAATGTGTCAAAGCTGGCAGTATGAAGGGCATGTAACTAGACGTTGCATGTTGTTAGGCGTGCCTGCTATTATTTTGGAGATTTTTAGCGATCAAAATTAGCGATAGTGTATGCTGGAATCCGGCTGCAGGAAACGTTCCCCATGCTAGAAAAATAGGTAATAGAGAGCGAATACGTTCCTCTTATGGAACGTAAATAGCTTTGCCCCACGCGATTTCCGGGCTGTTTCGGTAATTAGAGAATAAAATAAATAAATTTAAAAAAAAACGCTGTTTAATATACAACGATTTTATAAATGGACTAAAAATCAGAAAATAATATATCTCAGTTCCCACGCTTTTCATTTTCAATCTCATAAATGGTTTATAATGACTTTTGCTAAAATTTCAAAATCAAAAGTTATGAAAACAAATTCATTGGGACTGAGAAATAGTATTTTCTAATTTTTAGTCCATTTATAAAAGCGTTGTATATTAAAAAGTTTTTTTTTTATTTGATTTATTTTCTACTTTTTAGTCTTGTCTGTATAAAATTTTGCAATAGATATTAAAATAATTCAACTTTCAGTGAAAAGAGAACAGAAGACTATGCCAGCAAAATGTTGTTTGCTCACGTTTATACGTACATATATACATATAGCAGCAGTTAATTTCTTTTAAAGAAATGGCTGGTTTTCTATTTCCGTTATAGCGTATGTACATAGTGCATATATTTAGGCGCAATATTTAACTTCTTCGGGCGTGGCGACATCTAGAGTCTTTTAATTGTATCTCTGATATGATGCCTACAACGAGGTTGATATCTCGACTAGGTTGATATCTAAAATTTACCGTAAATAGCTTTGCTACATATACTACATTTACATATACTATAAGGGCCGGTTACTCACAATGTCTGGTTAACACTAATCTGCGGTTAAACATAGTTATCGACGTTACCGACTCCATGTTGCATTCATGGAGTCGAAGATGTCAATAACCGCAGATTAGTGTTAACCCGATATTGAGTAACCGGCCCTAAATCTTAAGATTTAGAAAGAGAAAGTATCAAAAATTATACAAATGTATCAAAACGGCAACGCTGGTTGTGCATGTAAAGTAAAATACAAGGCGAATTTATACAAGGTGGTGTTAACGGAGAATTTAGATTTTCGCCGCATTACTTCCTAATGTCAAAATGATATGTTTGTTGTAAGCAAGGCGAATTTATACAAGGTGGTGTTGTAAAATCAGCTGATTTATTCGCCTTGCATGTATTTTGTTTTTGCTTTTACTGATTTGACAGCACACCCAAGGTGTATTAAACAAGGTGGTGTTGGGGCGACAGCTGAGTTTTTCGCCGTGGAGGCCATTACGTCAAAATGATGTGTTTGTTGTAACTCATACCAATGACAGTATGGGCATCAGCGTATAATTTGTTAGTGTAATTTTTTACTTATATACGGCCAACACCACCTTGTTAAATGCGCCTTGAGCACACCCATCAATAGCAAAAACAAAATACATGTAAATTTTGGAGCGAATTGAGATTTTACATAACACCCTCCATACAAAATACATATGGTTGTCGTTGTTGTAATCTAAATTCGCCAGTAACACCACCTTGTATAAATTCGCCTTGGTAGTGTTGATGGCAAATTTAAATTTTCGCCGCGGTACTTCTTAATGTCGAAATGATGTGTTTGTTGTAAACAAGGCGAATTCATTTTGACATTAAAAATAGTTTGAAACATGTGAAAATCTTAGTTATAGACTTCGGAACACGCGGCAAAATCCTGAAAAATGGCTAAATGGGCGGGGTCGGGACTTAAAAAATGAATTTCGGAATGGGCGAGTTCGGGACCTAAAAATTGAATTTCGGGATGGGTGGGATCGGAATTGAATATTTAGTCCCGTGCCCATCTCTAGTATGTATATCGTATACACATATACCGTAATTAAGGACTACGTTTTTGAGCGTGTTTTTCCATACTTAAAACCTGTAAATTTAAAGCTCACTTTATATTTGAAGATTGCATTAAAACTTATCATTGTGTCTAAAGCAATGCATTTTATTATCGGCTAGATTTTATTTTTAATCCAACCTTTAAATATAAAGTGAGCGTTAAAGGTAAAGTTTACTACAGAAATTTAACAAACTAATATTTTTGGGTATGTATGTATGCATAACTAACCATAAGATGGAACAAAGAACTCCTTTTTATTGCATAATAGATACTTTACAAATATAAATATGCGGATTTCTGAAATATTAAAAAGTTAAAGCACAGATATATATAAAGTCTAATTTATGATGTACCCTTTTAAAAATTGATGGATTATTTTTATATTTCCTATTAGAATTGAGTTGAAATTTTAGAGCTATGTGAAAAGTGTAAACAAA